GCTTGACATTTGTCAGCTAAAGAAAACTCACATGCAAATCAGGAACTTGGGAACACTAAAGGCTAGATAGTTCTTCAGCATCTCAGGTATCAGGGAGACTACCACAAGGGAGTCCAAGTAACCTAGTACTTTACTTAGTTTAATTACATGAAAGGCCATCCTTATCTTGAGCTCTTCTGAATCACACTGGTGGGTTGTTGTTTCAGTTGAAGGCCATTCCCTGGATATTTGGTCAAGGGTATTGTAGAGAAGGAGTGGCAGTTGGCCCTATTTTGGTGTTGAGCAAATAACTCTATCCACTCTGGGTTTCACAGTTGACTCTCTGGCAGGAGCCTCTGTCTACAGATTATGCCTTTTGGGGACCACATGTGTGTTCTTAGGATATGAAGTTTTATAAAGAAAATTTCACAGATGTTTACAATCCCCAAAGAGCCCGATTTCAGATCCTCTTCTCCTAATCTAGCTCATGAAGGACACAGTCCAAATCATAGAATCCTAAAATCATTGCAACTCAAGCTCAGTCTGGATCAGTGTCATTCTCATCTACAAAATGGGCTGTTTTGAGGTTCCCAAGGGCTCAGTAGGAGCCCTTGTATTATAAAACATGTACCCATGATGTTGTGTAAAGTGGGCTGTATGTGTGCATACATGGTTGGGGTATTAGTGGGGTTAGGGGTCCTTCAAGACTCAGAGAGGAAAACTAGAATCTTTAATTTCATTCCTGAGGTGAGCGCTAACTGTGCACATATCACAAAGGTTGCCCACGACATGCCTTCAGTAGAATTTTTCTCTCATGGTTTAAAGTTTGGGTATTTTCTAAAGTAACATGTTCATTAGTTCATTTATTCATTGAGTCTTCAACTCTTGCATTATTTTATTCAATCATCCGACAGACGGTTGTATGTTAAGCAGTGGCCAACGTCCTTTGCTAGGGTCTGTATAAGGCCTCCAGGTCATGTTCTTTTGGAAGGTTTATTTACTATGTTCTTCTGTCATGCATCTATTCATTCAATAACATTCTGCCTCTTTAAAGAAAAACTTGTCAGAGGGCATGAGAGAGAGAGAGAGAGAAAGAGAAAGAGAGAGAGAGAGATGGGATTTTGAGCATGCATGGGGAATGGCCACAGCACAATCTCTTCTTCTGTATTTCTCCCTCCTTTTGGGATTTTGAGCATGCACACATATATACCTGTTGTGTTTCTCAAGCTGCTGTGTCTAAGACTCAAACTGGCAGTTTGCCAGGTGGCATCCAGTCATCCCAATCACCACACCATGGGCTGGTCTTCAATAATATTCTTACTCTGTGAGCTTACATGGTCCCTTTAGTAGAGAAGAACTCATAATTCTTTGCTGAGGATCGCTGGTTTGGAACTAGGATGATTTATGGCTATTTAAGAGACAATCTAAGCTGCATTTTTTCTTCCTAAAACTTATGTATTTCTTCTATGAGAGAGAGTAAGAGAGAGAGAGAGAGACAGGCACCCCTAACAGGGTCCCACCTCAGTCTCAGCCAGCTCAGATCATGGGCACGCATGTACTCAGCACACTCAGGGAGGTCCTGGGGCAAGTATGTAGAACCTTTCCCATGTGTGTCCACTTGTGTTACTGTGGCAACCCCACCTGGCTTGCTGAACTGCAAAGTCGTCCCAGATCCAGGCAAAAGGCTTGCTCACAGGATCCTCCAGAATATTAGGCGTGGCCCTGGAGAAGATATATTAGGAAGAAAAGTGATTTGTAAATTTTTAAAGCATTTCTTTAGCTGTTTTGAAGGCTGCAGCTGCATACAACATGGGAAGAGCAGAGTAATTGTATCTTTGAGTTAACTTTGCCATTGCTAATTACTCACCCTTATTGCTGTTCACTTTTACCTTTCTTTTTCTTACCTGTGATCCACTCTTCAAACTTCAACCCGAGTTCCCTGGCTTCTAGGAAATACCCTGCTTTTTTGCAGCTTGATTACATACAGCCTTTCTGAGCATTTCCATACCTCAGTATCTGGGTGCACATTCCATGGAGGCCTTGAGGGCCTCATAATTCCCAGAGGGCATGCTATCTCTCCTTCTGTAGACTCTGACCTCCTGGGAGAGCAAGCAGCCTGCTCTTTTCTTTTTTCTTTTCTTTCTTTTTCTTTTTTATTTTTTATAGTGAGCACATTGTTCCCTGGGCACTGCAATTTGATGATGCTTTGGTGACCAGGCCAAATACCAGGTTGGTAGCTGGATTAGACTCTGAGGTTACCTTGGTGGACCTTTCTGTGTGGGTAAGGACTTAACCTGTGCAACAGTTGAGACGTGTCTCCAGCTGCTTCTTCTCTATGTGCTTAACCCTTGGTAGTCCTGGGGGTCCTGAACCCATCCCTATAGATTTTCCTATTGGAGTGCTGCAAGTGTCAATTAGGCATAGACACTGCTATGGCGTGACAATTGCGACTTGATGAGAGCAATTTTCCTAAATGAAACAATCGCAGTGATGAGCTCCAACTCCCTTCCGCTAGTCATACAGCTGAGATGTGCTGCACTGTCCCCTCACACACAGCCCAGGGGTCTGGTTTCCTGGGTGCTTTAGGACCCACTGGAGTTTCCTTTGTAAGCCGTCCCTCCCTTCCTGAGTTAACAGCAGTGTCCCAGATACATGCATAACAGGTTTCCAATTTATTTCTTTTCAACAGCCGTTGGCAAACACTTCTTCCCCCCTTTCTCTTTTTATTGCTTGCCTTTACTTTATCTGCTAAATCCATGCTTGTGGGTCTCCAGCTGCCTTTCTAGCACCTGCCCTTGTTAATATCTCCGTGTTGTTGCAGTTGCTGCCCTTGGGCTCTTAATGAGGAGCAGGTGGATATTATCAGGTCACTTTCAGGAACGAAGGTGGGAAGGGAATCTATTGCCTACCAAGGCATTATATGAGTTATCTCATTTAAAACCGTCCTTGTGCGGTAAATATTAGTTCCCTGACTTTATGATGAGAAAATCTATCCCCAGGAAAGCCCCCAAATGTTATTCTTTTGAAACTCCCTGTAAGAGTCAATCTCTCTTCTGCTCAAGTTCTTTCAATGGAGTCCTATTATCTATTACAAAAAAAAAAAAGAGCACATTCCTTAGCCTGATATTCAAAAATCCCCGAGGACCTGGACCTTATCTACATTTTCTGTCCCATTGTTCACTACTTTATAACTACAGTTACAATCAAATGGAGTATTTCACTCTTGCTTAAGTACCCAACCCTCTCCTACCTCTTTACTTCTGCCTCTGTGATTCCCTCCTGTATAATACGTTTCCCAAACCACTTTCGATACATACACATACTATGCTTAACTCTCAAGAAGCAACCCAAAGGTCCTAATCTCCCCATAAATCCCACCGACCTCAGTTGGAGGTGACCGCTGCCTGCTGCTTCTCCTAAGCTGGACCGCTCCTGTCATCTTCATCACGCTGTGTATCATCACCCCTTCCGAAGCTGTGACCTCCCTGAAGGTGAGACTCATGTTTGACTTTAATTTACTATCCTACACTATGGTCAGGGTTATGCCATTCTTGGAGGTGATGCATTAAAAAAATAGTTAAGAATTTTGAGTAAGTCACTCCGTTTTCTTACCACCATCTCCCACTGTGGTTAATAGTACTAGCTAAGACAGTTCTGATTAAAATGTAGGAAACACAGAAATTAGTATAAATAGTTAGAATTCTGAAATTTTGCTTAAGGAGCCTAGTTCTTTTATGCTTTCCAGATAGTTTATATTCAGTGACTATCTTGTTATTGGGTTAAATAGACATGGTCTCTTTTAAACTAAATTTGAAGTTTCAAAATAGTTAAGTTTTTCTCCTCAGAATAGGACATACAAGTTAGGTTCAAAGTAGACTAATCTGTTTACCAGTACACAATTGGTTATGCAAAAATGTACACATTAAATATGAAATAGGCTTTGGAACTCCTTCAGTGTTAACTTACCTCTGAACATTCACGCATTCATTCAATCATTGTATTTGATCAACAAAACTCTCTCTTTCCAGACATACATCTTTTCTAAATTTCAGACCTGTATCTTCAATGATCAATTCAGCCACTCTATACGGAAGATCCTAGCCCTCTGGAATCCAAGATGCCTAAAATTGAATGAATAGTTCCATGTCCCTGCTTAGCAGCTATGTCTGGTCACATACAATGTGTTCTGTGTACTCTATCCAGATCAAAGAGAAGAGCACATACCATCTCCTTATTAAATCTGGTAATTAGCTTCTATTTACTTCTCTCCTCTTCTTCCTCAGTCCTGCACAAACCAATAAATTATTCAGCACTATTGATTACGCTGCAGAAATATTTGTAATGTGTTTCTTTACCTCCACTGCGATCGCTCATGTGCAGTTTACTTGAATAAAGTACATCATGGATAATTAGCAATATCAATGTATGAAGTATCTATATGATGTTCTGACAATGTACCAGGCATCCTGAGACAGCATGCGTTATCTCATTTAGTGTTCGCAAAAAAAACTTCTTGAAGGAAGGCATTTTGAATAAAATGTTTCATTCAATGTGGAAACTGAGACTTAGAAAGTTAAACAGCCTAATGTTTCACAGCTAGTAAGTGGCAAAATGGGATTTAAAGTGAGTGTGACTCCAAAGTCTAATTTCTTTCATTAAATGTTGCTGCCCTGTGAACCAGTGAAAAAAATAATAGTTTTGATTTAACACATTAATTAATCTATTCAGCAGATCCATCCTCAGAGCATACATTTGTGCAGGACTTCATATTAGGCTCTGTTGATAAAATGATGGATATGTTCTCAGAGGGCTTTCTGGGATCAGCAGGGTTGGACTAGCTGTGCTGCTGAAAGAAACATCTTGAATGTCTTGGTTATTCCCAAAATATAAGTTTTATTGTTCATATACCACTTGCTTACTAATGGTTGGCTTGAGGTTTTATTCTGTGTCATCCACATCCTCCCAAGACCCAGGACAATGGAATAGCCACATTCCGGAACATTGCTGTTTACCTTGACAGCGAGATAAGGGAGTCTGGTGAAGCAAGTGCTGGCTCTCAAAGCTTCTGACCAGAAGTATTGTCAACTGATTAGAAGCTCCTACTCCATTGGTCAAAGAAAGACACATGACCACAGGTGAGCATATTATTGAGAAGGACAGTATATATAGATGAACAGTAATATAGCTTACCAAAGGTGACAAGCACATATATTATTAAAAGTTACCCACATATATACTATTAGGAAAAAAAGTTTCAGTCTCCTTTCCCATCACTAAAAATGTCTCAGAGAAGGAAAACAATATGATCAGAGTTCAAGGTATTGAATATACCCTTGAATAGACTCAGCCCTTAGGAAGGAACTAGCTTATGTCTTTCTTTCTGTTCTGTAATCTGGAAGACTTCAGAAAGTTCTTTAAAAAATTAGAAATTTTTCCATGCATAATTCTTACTTTCCACAAACTTATTGAAAATCTTTGTAGGATTTTTTTCCCCATTTTCTCTCTTTCTTTTTTTTAATAGAACTGGAACCCTAAAATAGCTCCTTCTTTGATACCTACCTACCACTTTTCATCTTTGCTCCTGTCTTTCTTGTTGTATGTTACCATGAGAAGGTGATAAAAGACCAAGTTTAGACTTCACAGCAGTGGAAAGGAAGAAATAGGAGGCTCTATTTTGAAATTGAGCTAAACTTAAGTCTTTAACCCAACTTTTAAGGGGTGATAATTGGGTATAAGGCACTCTTTGAGCTACCAGGAGTATCTTATTATCTTATAACCCACTTGGGTGTATCCTTTGGAGTAAATGTGCCTTAGAATCCTATTTGGGAAAAGGAGGGATTAGTAGGATTCAGTTTTTTTTTTTTCCTTTGGACCCTTGCCTTAATACAATCAAATTCCCAACATAATTCATGGAACATGCCAATGGAGATACATGCATATTTTTTGGATCATAGAGGAAAGCAAAATGATCAGCACCTTCTGCAGGAAGGTAAATTAAGAAAAGGTGAGTCCCCTGGATTCTGAAGAGTGGGAGGAAGAAATAGGGCAGAAGGAACAGCAAATACACAGTCAAAACAGAGCATAGCACACTAGGTAAATAACATGTGAATAGGATGGATTCAGTGCAAAGGCTTTCTGGTAGGTTTGTCAAAAAACAAGGCAGTAAAAGTCAAATTGTTAAAGATTATCAGTTAGTGAAAAGCTTAATCCTTTATTTATTTATTTATTTATTTATTTATTGAGAGATTTTCACTGTAGGGCGCGTGCGCTCGCCAGACAGACAGAGAAAGACATAGAGACAGAAAGCGAGAAATCACCCCCCAGGGGGGATGGTCACGCCGCAATCCCTTCTCCTACATTCTCCTCTCGGGATCTTGGGCACGCACGCACACGCGCCCGGCGTGAGTTTTAAGCCACCGGGTCCGGGACACGAACCGCGGTCGACTACGTGGGAGTCCAGCGACATAGCCATTACGCTAACTGCTGGTTCCCTAAACCTTTATTTTTCATTTTAGAATCTCCAATACCTATTGCATGACCTAAGACAAAATAGATCTAGTCATCATTAAGGAAGTAAGTGAATTAGTAAATGAATAAGATGCATCACATGTATTTGTGGATTTTTTTTTTAACTATATGTAGACATTAGGTTATTATATTGTTGCAAGAATACAACATAGTGAGATACTATTATTATACCTATAGTTAAGATGAGAACACTGAGGCTTAGATATATTGAAAGGGTCTGATGTAGCATGCATCTGTTAAGATGTCATTAGCTGAAAGTAAAGTGTATATGTCTAAAATATTTTCAATAATAAAAAAGTGAGAAATGTTTATTTCCTATAAAAATTATAAGTTTTCCCAGAATTAGTTTTATAGTTCAATAACATTATTAGGGCCTTAGACTTTTCTATCTTTGACCTTTGTGTTTTCTCCTTGTGGTTATAAAATGATTGCCATGTTTCCAGACATCACATGAAAACATGACATCAGCTGACAAAGAGGGAAGCTTATACTCTGTATGTTCTTCCTAGGAAAGGAATCTTTGATAGCTGACCATATTAATGAAAATATCCCGACAGGCTCTTTGATGTGGCTGTGAAGGTATGTTCTACCTGTGGACAGCACAACAGTTACAATACTCTGTTCATGGTATTAGAGAAAATTTAGAGTTAGGGCAAGCAGAGGAATAAGACAGGGAAGTGAAGGGATCAAAACTGGAAGAAGAGTGAGTTAAATAGCATTATAGGTTTTAACACATAACTTGAGAACAGTCTTTTAATTGAAAAGTTTTACAAAACTTAAATTCTCTGATGATGTCTATCCTATTTTCCTAATTCCTTAGTAAAGCCTGAAGCTTATATAAATTCCATATGTTTGTTTTGGAGAGAAAGTCAAGGGACCGTATTTCCTGACCTTTGTTGGTATAAAGCTCTGAGTTTAGGTTGATATTGGGAAGATTTAGAGTTTGCTCAGTTACAGGAATTTAAAGGGTAAGCCCTGAGAAACATCAGAAATCTTGAAGATGTTGGAATTTCCATAGGCTATGAGATGGGGTCTTGGAATAACTTTAGTTAATTTTCAAAGGACAGAAAGGCCTCAGATGACACGTGGGTCATACAAAAAATGCTGCGTTAAGTCTTTCTAAATGTCAGTCTCTGCTGTATTTCTGATAATTCCCTATGTATAAATTCCCATAAGAGCAATTACTGGTCAGAGGTTGTGGGCGTGTATAAAGCTCTTAAAACGCATTGCCAAGTGCTGCGACAGTGCTCATTCCCCTGTATCCTTGGTGGCTCTGGGTGGGGGAATATTGTGAGGGTTTAAAAACCCTGTGTCAGGAACCAGCAGTTAGTGTAATGGCTATGTCGCTGGACTCCCATGTAGTCGACCGCAGTTTGCGTCCCGGACCCGGTGGCTTAAATCTCACGCCGGGCGCGTGTGCGTGC